ACCCCCGGGTCCTCCCGCTTCAGCCCGGCCCGGCCCCTGCCCCTGCCCCTGCCCCCGCCCGTGGGCGTCTCCTCCCGGCCTGCAGTAACCGCTCCAGTTCCCTTCCCTGCTCCCCAGGCCCGGCCCGACTGGAGCGGACTCGCCCTCTGCTTGGGGCGGAGCCTGGCTCAGGCCAGGTGTGAAAGCTCCCTCGAGGTGCGGTGTCACCTGGAGCCCTCAGGACGCCTTTCCTCCCATCCAAGTACTAACCAGGCCCGACCCTGCTTAGCCTCGAGATCGCGGCAGGGAACCTTTCCTCAGAACTTGCATTACCCAGAAAAAACCCCTCTGGTGCTCTCTGCCGCCGCGAGAAGCCCCACTTCCCCAACGTGCCCACGGGGACGGGGCCCAGCGGCCCAGGACAGAGTCCCTGTGCCTGCCCTTGCCACCGTGCCCTGGGAGACCCGATGTCCCCTCACCACAGGCCTGGCCCAGAGGTCTCGGTCGCCAGGGGAGGGCTGAAGACAAGCTGACCTTCACAGGTTCTCGCTAAGTCACCCAGGCTGGGCTCAAACTTGCAAACCTCCTGCCTCTTCTTTTCACACAGCTCACAGGCAGTAAGACGCCCCTCTCTGGAGTAGCCCTCCTGTGTGTTATTGGGCTTGCTATGTAGCCCAGACTGGCCTTGAACTCGAGGCAATCCTCCTGCCTCAGCCTCCTGAGTGCTGGCTGGAATCACAGCTGTGCACCATCACGCCAGCTGAAGCTGGTCTTGGATTTAGTGTTTAAGGAGCTGTTTGCTCTGTATGGTGCTGGGGGTGGAGCCCAAGACCCTCTGCCTTTCAGCTCTGGGAGACACTGAAACTTCTATTCCTGTATTGCTGTCTTTAGTTTTGGGGGGCGGGTTTGGTACCGGGTATCAAACTCAGGACCTTGAGCTTACGGTGCAGGTGCGATGCCACTGAGCTAAATCCCCGGCCCACTATCTTTAGTTTTTTCAGATGGGTTCTCATTATGACATCAGATTGGCCTTGAACCCTAGGATCCAGGGTGCCTCCTGCCTCAGCCTCCTGAGTACCTAAGACTACAGGTGTTCACCACCTCTCTTGGCTTGTTGTTGTTTGCAGTGCTGGGGAATGGGACCCACGCATGCTAAGCGAGCACCCAACACAGCTGTACCCCAAGCCCTTTTGATTTTGAGATGGGGTCTCACTAGGTTGCCCAGGTTGGCTTGGAACTTGCAATCCGCTTGCCTCAGCCTCCTGAGTAGCTGTGATTATAGGGGTGTGTGATTTTTGTCTGGCTCCCTGAACTGTTTTGACTCCTACACTTTTTTTTTTCTCTAAAGATGAATTCTTGCTGTGTGGCCCTGGCTGTCCTCAAACTCCTAGGGTGAAGGAGCTCCCAAGCAGCTGGGACCCCAGATGGTAATTCCTGTATTTCTGTAGTAGAGAAAAGCCAAGGGGAAGCCAGAAAACCCTGAGGGGGGAAGATGGCTTCTGGATGTGAATTCACAGGTAAGAGGAGGGAGAGAGATCAGACTCCTCGGGGGCTCCCAAGACCTCCCACTTAGGCTCGGGGAGCACAACCTGGAGAGGAAGGAGCCTGGAGAAGGGGGTCCTCGGAGACTGGTGACAAGGACGTGGTGCCTGGGAGGCAGCCAGGGTCAGCGCAGTTCAGGTGCCCGCCTGAGAAGGAGAGAGGGACCAGGCAGGACCCCCACAGGAAACAGGTGAAGAAAAGACTTCAAGCGGTGTGTGAGCCAGCGTGGGGGTGCGCGCTTATGATCCCAGCACTCAGGATGCTGAGGCAGGAGGGTCTCCACGAGTTCAAGGCTGTCCTGGGCTACACAGTGAGTTCAAGGCCAGTCTGGACTACATAGCAAGACCCTGACTCAAAACACAAAACAAAATGAAACAAAACCAAAAAACAAAAAAGGGCCGGTAGTTTAGCTCAGTGGTGCCACCTCCTGCCTTGAAAGCGCAAGGACCAGAGTTCAATCCCTGGTACAAAGAAAGAAAAGAAATGTGGTGGGGGTTGCTGGGGATGCAGCTCATTTCACAGGCCCTTGGTGCAGTCCCCAGTACTGCAAACAAACAAAGTAAATTAGGCATTTAAAATGCATCTGTTCTCAAGACAGGATCTCAAATCCACCGGCCCAAGCCATCGAGACACAGAGATGTCCCAGTGTTTTCCTTCCTGCTCTGCATCGTAGGGTGGTTTTGCCATTTTCTGACAATCATTAAGAAGATCCAAAGATCTGATAGTAAACTTTCTTGTGTCTCGTTTTCATTTTCCATGGCACCCTTTCTCCCTGTGTGCAGCTTCCTCTTGATACTTTCTCCCTGCCGGGAACTGATGGGACCTGCCTGGGAGGCAGCGCTCTGTGCCTGCCCGCATTCGGGTGGGTTTGGGCCCCGGTATCTCCTTACTTCTACTGAGGATTGGTGTCTCTCACATTGTCACACCTCGCCATGTTGTCCTGTGTTGTCTCCTGTTTGAACTCTGCTCCTCTGGATAAGCCCTTCGATCTCAGCTTTGCCGTTTCCCAAACATCTGGGCTGCATTCTAGGTAATTTATGCACAGTTGATTGATTCTCTCTTCCACTATATCTAAGACTTAACATTGGTAGTAGGTTGAACAGTAGCCTCAGAAGATACGTCTATAGCCTGATACTAGGGAGGCTGAGGCAGGAGGCTCTCAAGTTGGAGCCTGCAGAGGGAACGCAGGCCTGCTGATGCCTGGATCTCAGCCTCTGTGCTGCAGAACTTGGTCCTGTTGGTTTAAACTGACTGCCTAGTGTGAGGGACTTATAACAGCCAAAGGCACAGAACTATAATATTGATTCCTTTTTTTTCTGATAATTTCATGCTTTCAGTTTTTTGTTTTGTTTTTTTTTGAAGACAGGGTCTTGCCAGGTAGCCTAGGGTAGCCTTGAACTCATGGAGATTCTCCTGCTTCAGCCTCCCAAGCATCACCATGGCTTCTACGGTGCCACACCTGGCTTCTTGTTTCTGTGTTGTTAGGGAGGGAAGCTCAGTTGTCTGTAACTGAGCGGCACCCCAGCCCTCAGCCGTGGCAGTTCTAGGACACCCAGAGCAACTGTTTTCTGAACATCCCCGTTTGGCCCCAGTCCCATACCCTTACCCTGCTGTGTTGTGCTAACTCTGCCCCTCCCGGGGGCAGATTCTGTAGGTGCTCCCGGCCCAGTCACTGCTGTGCACACTCGGGCTGCGCAGTTCTGCTAGGAACATTCTCGGGTGAGGCCTAGGGTGCCACCCACCGCCTCCTGTCCTGACCCAACATTCTCAGGGACAGGGTGGGCATGGGTAGGACTGGGAGTCCGGGCCCATGCCTCGTGTTCTCTGGCAGGAGAACCTTTCTTTCCAGGGTTTAGGTTTGGCCAACCCTGTTCCCCTACCCCACACACTAGCTGGTGGAAGCCTCTGGAATCTTCTGGAAGGTTCCTCGGTGAGGCTTGGCCGGTCTCTACAGAGCTCATCACAGCGACAGCCTGGCTCACCCCGCACGAGACAAACAGCCCCATCGGTAGAGGAATGGGCCCTGCCCCAGCCCCAGCCCCAGAAGCAGCATTTTGAGCCAAAAGTTTTAAAATGCCTTTGATTTGTTTATTTCCATTTCTCTCGCATCCCAGGCCAGACTGGTTCAGCTTTCTACACATCCCTGCACACCGCCCACACTCCTGTGCCGCACGGTGGTGACAGCCTCTCTGTGGCCAGCTGGGGCCTGGCCAGGACGGTCTGGGAGTCACCCCGACCTCACGCTCTGCCCTGGCTTTCTCTATGGCTCCGGCACCCCTCATCTGTAGGCCCCACCTTTGGGGGTACCGAGACACCTCTAGTCAGGCATGGGGTGATTCTGGCAGGCTGAGGCAGGAGGGTCATGGTTTGAGCCTGGGCACTGCTGTGACTTAGCAAGACCTCGTCGCAAAATTTAAAAATTCAGAAAGGGCTGGGGTGTGGGTCAGGGTGGAAGCCAGGTTCAATCTCCAATACCAAGCAAGTTTCCCCATCCAGCCAAATAAGAGGCCTGGCTGCCCAGCACCTTCTAGAACCATCCACAGCCTGCCACCTTGGGACACTGCTCACCACCCAAGCCTGGCTCTGCTTACACCTGGGTCCCAGGCTGGAGCGTGGGAGCCACCGAGCTCGCGCCTGCACCCCAGGAGGCCGCTGAGCCCCAGGGCCAGGATGCCTTAGTGTAGACAAAGCGCGGCCTCTGTCACCCTGGCCTGGGCCGGGAGGTGGTCGGAAGTCACGTGGGCCAGGCCTGCGGCTGACTCATAAGACCCATGGCTCCACCCTCGCACCCCCTCCCCAGACAGCTGTGCCCCAAGGCATCGCGAGGTCACCCGCCTTCACTGCAGCCTCCTCGTCAGACTTGCAGGCTTGGGGACAGCGTCAGCACTGCCTCATCTGCTGCCCACAGAGCCTGCCCGGACCGATGTCACTCAAGGGACGAATTCAGGGCGCCGGCCCCCCCACTCACTCAGCTTTGCTGGGCTTGGGGCTGTGGGCTTCGGCCGTGTCATACTCCCGCAGATCACTCAGCTCTCGCATCTGGCCCGTCAGCACCTTGGCAGCCAGGGCCACGATGTACTGTGGAGGGAGGCGGCGTGACCACGGGCCCTTTGCACACACTGCTCCCGCCCCCCCCAACCTACGCCTAGACGGCTGCCCAAGGACAGGGACAAGAAAGGACTGCCAGCCGCAAACAGGGAAGCCACTCACCAGGAACCAGTACAAGTTCATGGCGGTGAGCAGCAGCAGGAGCGTGTTGAAGAAGAAGTAGAAGGGGATGTCGGGCACCGAGATGAGGCTGGTGTGCAGCGTGGCGTACAGGACCTTGAGTGGGAACCAGTATAGCCGGAACCAGAACCTGTGGGAACAGTTCGGGGGGGGGGCGCTGCAGGAGGGGAACAGCGACCAGACCCACCCCTTCCCAGCGGCCACTGCAGCGCCCGCCCCGCCCCTTCGCATCTGGCCCCTCCCCCGCTTGGCCTCACCCTTCGCAGCGTAGCCCCGCCCAGTCCTCCCGCCCCGCCCACTGACCAGGTGACGCAGAAGCACAGGCAGCCCAGGTCCCCCAGCAGCGCGTGCAGCCGCTGATAGGTGCCGCCTGCGGCCTTGAAGTAGGTGTTGAGCTTGGTGAACTCCAGCTGCACGTCGGTGAGGTCGTGCAGGAAGAACACAAGCACGCCCACGTTGTGGTACCTGGGTGGGCGGGACGTGGCTCACACAGCTGCCCCACACGGGGTGCAGGGGTGGTGTGTCCCAGTGTCCCTGTCCCCAAGCAGTCAGAGCTGCCCAGTCCCTTCTCTCCGTGCTGATACCCCCATGACCCTGACTCTCAGGGCCCTGGACCACACGGCGTCTCTGTCACTTACTGAGACATCACTGCCACCTTGTTGGGCAGCTCCAGTCACTGCCCAGGAAAGGCAGCCACATCCCACTAGTGTCTCCGGGCCAGGAGCCTTCCTATCCCCACCCGACACTGCTCACATCCTGGGCCAGGTGCAGCGGCTGGTAGCCAGGGGGTCTCCCACCAGCAGCATGCTGGTTCCTGCCGCAGGCCCTTTGCACCTGCTGCTGTTCCCATTCGCCTAGCATGGCATCCCGGGTTCACATCCTTCCCCCGTGTCATATGAACGACACACTGGAGAGGCATTTGTGCAGAACTTTACAGAACCACAGGAATGTTCTAAACCCATACCGTCTCAAACAGCAGCCACCAGCCATGAGGCTACTGAGTCCCAGCAATGTGGTCAGTGCAGCTGAGAAACAAATGTGCCTTTAAGTTGGGTCAAAGTGGAAACACATGTCCCTGTGGCCCTAACTACTCAGGAAGCTGAGGCAGGAGGACTGCTTGAATTCATGGCCAGCCTGGGCAATACAGCAAGACTCCATCTAAAAAATACATGCCAAATATTGTCATTTCACTACAGAATCAAGATATCCACAGTTGGGCGTGGTGGCGCACACCTGTGATCCTAGAGCTCAGGAGGCTGAGACAGGAGGATCGCTGTGAGTTTGAGGCCAGCCTGGGCTACATAGCAAGACTGCTCAAAAAACCAGAAAAGGGCCAAGAATTTAGCTCAGTGGCATCATGCCTTCCTCAAAAGCACAAGGTCCTGAGTTTCATCCCCAGTACAAAAATCAAGATATCAAAAGGACTGACAAGATACTTTAACTTTTGTTTGCCAATGAGTTGCTTTTCCTTGTATTTTCATTTATATATAAAGCCTTGGGAATCATGGTAAATTCGGGGGGGATACTGAAGAGAAAACTCAGGGAGCACCGAGTTAAACCCTGGCCCTCTGCATTTTATTTTGAGACAGGGTCTCAATAACTTACGTCCTGAGCACAGCTGAGCTCGGTGCCAAACACCTATGACCCCAGCACTCTGGAAGGCTGAGGCAGGAGGATGGCAAGTTTGAGCCCAGCCTGAGCAACTTAGTGACTTAGCGAGACCTGTCTCAAAATAAAATATAAAAAGGGGATGCAGCTCGGCGTGAAGGCCCTGGACTCAGTCCCCAGGCTGGACACAAATGTGTGACCCTCCTGCCTCAGCCTCCCAGACAGTGGGGTGAAGGCATGCCCCGCCCTGTGCTGGCCGCTGCAGTGGGTTCCAGGACATCAGGCCAGCCTCAGTAAAGCCTTCAGGCCTTGCCCATCACAGGGGTGCAGAGGTGTGGCTGCTGGGCCTAACCCCGCCGTCCCTTTGGAGCCCCACCCTGCCGCCCGAACTTACCGGAAGGCGTAGGAGCAGACGATAAGGGCCAGGGTGACCACGTGGTGGGCGAGCATGACCACCGAGTCCTTGCGCCAGGTGTCCATGTAGAGCGTGGCGTAGATGGAGTGGCCGTAGAAGCTGCCCTGCAGCAGGTAGTTGGCGGCGATGTCCCGGGGCACCGCCATGCCTGGCGTCCAGCCTGGGGACGGCAGTGCCCGTGGTCAGGAAACGCTGGGCCCCCACCCCCTGCACACCCACTGTCCACTGTGTGGCCCAGGCTAGGCTCAAACTTGGGATCTTCCTGCCTCAGCCTCCCATAGTGCTGGGTTGACAGGTGGATGCCTTCTAACAGGCCTTTTTTTTTTGCTACCAGAGATTTAACTCTGGACGTTGTGCTTGTGAGGCAGGCGGCGGCACCACTGAGCTAAACCCCCAGCCCCAATGGGCCTTTTGGAAGAGCAGGTTCAGATGTATAGATATCTCCAGCAGTTGGCAGAAAGGGCTGACACCCACCTCCTCATTTACTGAGAGGAGGCAGCAACGGTTTCCCCTTACACCACTCCCAAGGCCCGGAAGTCCTCTCTGCCGCGCCCTCGTGTCTTCCCCCTCAGCACCGGGGCTCCCCAATTCATGGGGCAGCCTCTCATATGACCGTGGGGCTCCTGTCTTGCTCTGCCTTCGGCCACCTTCACCCAGAGCTGCACACCTCGAGGCCATGACCCCAGCTGGCCCTGCTCCCCGCGTTGGTGGCCAGCACCAGGCCACACCACGCCACGCCACCAGGACTGCGCCCCGGGAACTGGACTCTGCCTCAGCCAGGCGTGGGAACCCACATCTCCAGCTATTTTGGAGGCTGAGGCAGGAGGATTACAGCAAGAAGCTGTCTCAAATGAAAAGATAAAAAGGGCCAGCGAACGGCTCCGTATCTGGATGACGGGTCCTTACTCAGCCAGGACGGGCAGACTCCGACACACTCTCCTCACGGGCGAACCCTGAAAACGTGATGGGGAGCCATGCCGGACTGGAAAGGCCACACAGGGCGTGAGGCCGTTTTACGGAAACGTCCTGAGCACAGCTGAGCTCGGTGCCAAACACCTACGACCCCAGCACTCTGGAAGGCTGAGGCAGGAGGATGGCAAGTTTGAGCCCAGCCTGAGCAACTTAGTGACTTAGCGAGACCCTGTCTCAAAATAAAATATAAAAAGGGGATGCAGCTCGGCGTGAAGGCCCTGGACTCAGTCCCCAGTACTGCAAAATCAAACTACCTAAAGCTGGGCTACATTAAACTAAAAGGCTTCTGCACCAGGAAGAAACAATCCACAGCTGGAGAGCCTGGGGAAAGGCAGCGAGCATTAGCCAGCCTCTCAGCCGGCAGGGGGCGCCGATGGGGCGCATGTTTACATTTTTCAAACACGTTACAGTCAAGGACACAATACAGGGAGCCCCTCCAAGCCCTCAGACCCTCAGCCCTGCCACTTTCTGCAGCAGCGCTGGGGTCTTTTGTGAGGGCTACGATGTCCCGGCTGCCTCCATGGGCTGAGTCCATTCAAACACTTCCCTTAGCTAGGTGTGGTGGTGCACATCTGTCATCCCAGCACTTGGGAGGCTGAGGCAGGAGGATCGTTTCAAGTTGAAGGCCAGCTTGGGCTATGCAGCAAGACTGTGTCTCAAAATAACAAAAAACAAGGACCAGAGGGCTGGGGATTTAGCTCAGTGGTTCCACTGCCTGCCTTGCAAGCACAAGGACCCCAGTTTGATCCCCAGTACCCACCCAAAAAAGTACTACAATAAAAGAGGACCGGGGATTTAGCTCAGCTGTTCCATCACCTGCCTCACAAGCACAAGGTCCCAAGTTCGATGCTGGGAACAAACAAATACTCAGGAGGCTGAGCCAGAAGGATAACTTTGAGACCAGCCTGGGAAACTGTGATACCCTGTCTAAAAATAAAAATTTAAAAAGCAGCAGAGCAGTTCAGGTTAGTTCCCAGCAGCAGAGCACCCGCCTAGCATGCTCAGAACTCTGGTTCCACCCCAAGACCCCAAATTAAATTAAGAAATTCAAGCTGGGTGTGGTGGAGCAAGCTTATAATCCTAGCACTTGGGAGGCTGAGGCAGGAGGATCGCTGTGAGTTCAGGGCCAGCCTGGGCTACATAGCAAGGCTCTGTCTCAAAACAAACAAATGAAAAATTCAATAAAAGTAATAAATGTAAGTGGTTACTTTCTAACTGTGGTGAGCGGTGTTCACCCTGCAGCTCAGCACTCTTCATCTGTAAGGCCAGGGGCCCAAGAACAGGGCACAATTGCATGACAGTGTCACCACCACCACCTCTGGGGCCTCTGTCCCCACGACACACCCTCCCTGTCTGGCACCCACCGCGCCACCTCCCCTCTCCAGACAGTGCTCATCTTCATGACTGGCCAGAATGCTTGATGAGCTGGGGCCGCAGACCTCCCCAACCGATCCCCTCTGGCCATCTCCCTGGGGATCCCAGGCCCCACTACTGTCTCTACCTCTCTTCTCACAACCAGTGTCACACAGGCAGCAGGCAGCTTCACCACTGTGCCCCGCACCAGGCCTGGCACACCTGTGCTGGATAAATGCCCGCAGAAAGAAACAGCCCATGTCTGGGAGAGATGGAGCACACACACCTGCAACCCAGCGCTCCGGGAGGCTGAGGCAGGAAGGTCAAAAGTTTGAACCCAGCCTGGGCAACTTAGTGACTTAGAGAGACCCTATCGAAACGTGAAAAATAAAAACGGCTGCTGATGGAGTTCAGCGTGAGCTCCTGCAGGGGCGGAGGTGGCCCCAGGCCTCCCCATGAGCCATCCCTGACCCCTGGCCACCTGCCCCCAGGAGCCCAGCCCCGTGCCCCAGCCCTACCGTAGAAGACGGAGGGTGGGTCATGGAAGAAGGGGTAGTCAGTGCCCAGCAGCAGGTAGGCACTGTAGCTCCAGCAGCCCAGGTAGACGACGAACTTCCAGGCGCTCTCGGGCATCTTGGCGGCATCTCGGGGCAGGAGGCGGCACCGCTCGGCCAGGGGCTGTGGACAAAGGTGGGGGCAGCTGGCACTGGCGACAGGGACACAGAGGCTGGCCGGCGGCAGCAGCCACACTCCTCTCCACGCTGCCCCTGCCAGGGCGGTAACCAGAGCCGGGCCCCACTGTCAAGGACTAAATTTAACACTCAGCTGTTGCCGTGATTGGGGAGAGCAACACCAGGCCTAAAGAGTGGGCGTCCCTGCGGGCAGCCTGGGGGTCCAGAGGTACCGGGCCGCAGGACAGCCGCGTGTGACCAGGACAGGGCGGGAGCTACAAGACACGCGGGTTTGGGGCGGCCCAGAGGGGAAAATGGGGTCCTCCGGGGAACAAGCTGTTGGCAAAGCCGAAGGACCCCCACGGGGTGAGAGAGAAGTTGAGGGGGGAGTGTGCCTGGAGAGGTAGTTTGGGGGAACCACAGAAAACCAGGGGGCCAGGGAAGCTAGGAAGACGTGACGCAGACACGTGGAGTTGGGGCGGAAAGCGCAGCGACAAAAGGAGGACCCCAGCCAGAGGAAGGCGCTGGGAGGAAGGAGCCGGTGGGTGGGCGTGGCCTCCTTCAGGGGCGGGGCCTCGGGTGCGGGGCCAGCCCCGCCCCTTCTCGAGGCTGAGGGGGCTGGAGAAGCCCAGAGCGGTTGTCGTGGAGACAGCCGGAGCCAGCTCCGGTAACCCCTGGCAACCAGGCTGCTGCCAAGAAGATGAGCTTTGGAAAAGGG